TTTCACTAATTATACCTCTGTGCTTGGGGTTCTCAGTCATGAGAAAGTGGATTTGGGTTTTTACATCATAGTTTAGGTGAAAGGTTTGCATGTGTTTTATGCTACTTATTTTAGTGATTATAGTATTATTATTAAATTTAATATTAGAAAGTTAACTTTTTTCTGATCTGGTTCTCCCTTTTTCCACCACACTTGCCTACAAAGCATGCCAGAGATGTTATCTGCCTCCTTTTAAAGCACCAGGCAAATCCAAACATGCTGTGGAGTGGCCATTCACCGCTGTCCTTAGCCATCGCCAGTGGGAATGACTTGGTGAGTCTCTTTACCTTCCTTCATTTTTTTCATGTGCTTCTCCATTCATGTCTGTCTCCTCTGGTGGCAGCCAAACTACTTAGAATCACAGAATAATCACTGAGGTTGGAAAAGACCCTGAAGATCATTGAGTCCAACTATTAAGCCTACTCTACCAAGTCCAGTACTAAGTCATGTCCCCAGGCGCCACACTAGATGACTTTTAAACATATCCAGGGATGGTGACTCAACCACCTCCCTCGGCAGCACATTCCAATGTCTCTTTCAGTGGAAAAGTTACTCCTAATGTCTAGTCTAAGCATCCCCTGGTGCAGCTTTAGTCTGTTCCCTCTTGTTCCATTACCAGTTATTTGTGAGAAGAGCACCTACCTCCCTATGACAGCCTTTCAGGTAGTTGCAGAGGGCAATGAGGTCTCCCCTCAACCTCCTTTTCTGAAGGCAATGAACTCTCTCAGCCTTTCTTCATAGCAGAGCTGCTCTAGCCCTCAGATCATCTTCATCTTTGTACTTTCTCCATGAGCTCCATGTCATTCTTGTCTTGGGTGCTCCAGAATTGGACACAGTTCTCCAACCGGGGTCTCACAGGGGCTGAGTAAAGATGGAGAATCACCTCCCTTGACCTACTGGCCATGCTTCTTCTGATACAGTCCAAGACATGGTTGGTTTTCTGGGCTGCAGTTGCACATTGCTGGCCCTAAAGTTCTTCTCTTCTGGACTGTTTTTGATCCATTCTCCACCCAGCCTGTATTTGTTCTTGGGGTTGTCCTGACCCAGGTGTAGGATCTCCTCGCATCCTGGATGGATTCCTTCCCTCCAGTCTGTCACCTCACCATACACTTTGGTGTTGTCACCAAAATTGCTGAGAGTGCGCTTAATGCCACTGGCCGTGTTGCCAGCAAAGTTGTTAAATAGCACTGGTTCCAGTACCAACCCTTGGGGAACACCACTGGTCGCAGGTCTCCATCTGGACATGGAGCTGTTAATCACCACTCTTTGAGTGCAACCAACAAGCCAGTTCCTTACCCAACAAGTGCTCCATCCATCAAATCTATACTGTCCCAGTTTTGATACCAGGATGTCATGCAGGACAGTGTTGAAGCCTTTGCACAGGTCCAGGGAGATGACGTCAGTTGCTCTTCCTTTATCCACTGATGTTGTGACCCCATTGTAGAAGCCACCATTAGTCAGGGAGGATTTGCCTTTGGTAAAGCCGTGCTGACTGTCACTAGCCACCCCTTTGCTTTCAACATGCCTTAGCAGAGCCTTCAGGAGGATCTGCTCCATGATCTTGCCAGGCACAGAGGTAAGACTGACTGGTCATTAGTACCCTGGATCTTCCTTTTTTCTCTTCTTGGAAATGGGAATTATATTTCCCCTTTCCAGTCAGTGGGGATTTCTCCAGACTGCCAAGACTTTTCAAATATGAAGGACAGAGGCTTTGAAACTTCATCAGCCAGCTCCTTCAGGAGCTGTGGATGAATCCAGTCAGGTCCCGTAGACCTGCGCAGGTCCTTCAGACAGTCATGAACTCTTCTCCTGAAGTGCAGAGATCTTCCTTTCCAGGGAGTCCATGCCTTCACCTTTAACTTAAATGGTGGAACATAATAGAAAATATCTCGTTTGTGTTGTTATTCTTTAACTATATTCCTTTCACTAGAAGAGAATCAAATGTCTATAAAAATAAATCTGGGCTTGAGTGTGGTCTATGGAAAGGGTTATAATAGAAGTGGCTTAAACTGCATGGAAGTATGGAATCAGAAAATGGTTTTGGTGCGAAAGGACGTTAAAGATTGTCTAGCTCAAACCCCTCTCCATGGGCAGAGACACCTACCACTAAACCAGGTTGCTCCAAGCCCCAACTGACCTGCCTTGAGCACTTCCAGGGATGGGGCAGCCACAGCTTCTCTGGGCAACCTGGGCCTCACCACCCTCACAGTGAAGAGTATCTTCCTAAGATCTCACCTCAATCTCATCTCTTTCAGCTTGAAACCATTCCCCCCTTGTCTCATCACTTCACGCCCTTGTAAAAAGTCCCTCTTTACCTTTCCTGTAGCAAATATGGTGTGAGTGATCAACTTCTCTAATCCTTATCTTTGTGATAAAGCATTCTTTTTAAAAAATACACTTTATGAATCAGACCAGATGATTTTTAAAGTTACACTCCCATGTCTTTGATACTGCTGTTTGTTAAAATATTCCATGATGACATTATGATCCACGCTAAAAAAAAAGTGAAAACTACTGAGCAAGCTCAGAATATATGGGATAGAAGAATGGATTAAGAACTGGCTACACAATAGAGCCCAAAGAGTGGTGGTCAATGGTGCCGAGTCCAGCTGGAGACCTGTAACTAGTGGCATCCCACAGGGATCAGTGCTGGGTCCAGTCCTGTTCAACATCTTTATCAATGACCTTGATGACAGTAGGGTGTCTTCTCAGCAAGTTTGCTGCTGACACCAAGCTGAAAGAATTGGCTGATTCACCTGAAACCTGTGCAGCCATTCAGCAATATTTGAACAGGCTGGAGAGCTAAGCAAAGAGGAACCTCATGAGGTTCAACAAGAGCACATGCAGAGTCCTGCACCTGGGAAGGAACAACAGAATGCACCAGTCCAGGTTAGGAGGTGGCTTGCTAGAGAGCAGCTCCATGGAGAAGGACCTTGGAGTCCTGGTAGACAACAACTTATCCATGGGACAACAATGTGCCCTTGCGGCCAGGAAGGCCAATGGTATCTTGGGGTGCATTAAGAAGAGTGTGTCCAGCAGATCAAGGGATCCCCCTCTATTTGGCCCTGGTGAGACCTCACTTGGAGCCTTGTGTCCAGTTCTGAGCTCCCCAGTTCAAGAGAGACAGGGATCTGCTGGAGAGAGTCCAACAGAGGCTACGAGGATGATGAAGGGACTGGAACACCTGCCTTACGAGGAAAGGCTGAGAGACTTGGGGCTTTTCAGTCTAGAGAGGAGAAGACCAAGGGAGGATCTAATTAATGTCCATAAATACACGAGGGCTGGGGGTCAAGAAGGCAGGGACAACCTCTTGTCACTTGTGCCCCGTGATAGGATGAGGGGCCATGGATTCAAACTGAAGCATAGGAAGTTCCAGCTGAACATGAGGAAGAACTTCTTTCCTGTGAGGGTGACAGAGCCCTGGGACAGGCTCCCCAGAGAGGTTGTGGAGCCTTTCTGAGTGACCTGCCCTAGTTTTTGGTCCTGCTTGGGCAGGGGGTTGGACTCAGTGATCTCCAGAGGTCCCTTCCAACCCCTGACCTTCTGTGATTCTGTGATACTGCCCAGTGGATTAAATGTTTGTGCTCTGATGAAATCAGGAGAAATATGAGCAAATACTCCAGATGTGTAATCGCAAAAAAAATGAAGTTTTAAGAGCCTCATCTGATCTAGGTGGTGTCTCAGGTTCCTGCTGCAGGGCTGTCAGTAATGGCATCTCCAGTCACTCACGGGTCCCACTTGCAGGCAGTGGCTGAGCTCCTCAAGCATGGGGCTGACCCCAACCTGCCCCTGGGTGCAGCAGTCCACAGTGCCCTCTGCGCTGCGCTCAGCACAGCCTACGGATGGGAGAGACCAGCAGCACAGAGGATCGCTTTGGTGAGACATCTGCCCTTTCACTGGCTTTTTAAACTGCTGAAAAACAGTCACAACTGTCAGCTGCACCGAATCCCCTTTTTCTGTAATGAGTGAACTGATTTATTTTTTCCCATCAAAATTTATCCGCATCTATTCCTCTCTTGAGGAACAAATATTTTATACCGGAATTTATGTTCATGTTTGAGTAAAGAGGATTATAACTTCCTGTGTAGAAGAGGAAAATTGACATTAAAGTCAGCTGGGATGGTGGTAGTGCCCACAGCACTGCCAGATTTGAATCTGAACAGCCTGCACAGAGAGAGAGGTGTTGTCTGTGACTGTCACTGTGCAGTGCTCGGTGATGCCTGCAGTGACACACTTCATCTCTGTGATGAGCTCAATTGCAGTGTTTGCCCTTGTGGAAATCAAGGTTTTTCTCCTCATCCCCAGAGCATAGGGCTGATATTCAGGGTGGAGGTGGGGCTCTGGGAGTGGAGGCTGAGTCCTGCCTACTCCCTCATGAGCTGTTCCTGCTTTGTTGTTGCTGCAGGATTCCTTGATATCCAGAAACAAATAGCAACTGTGTGCAAGAAGGTTTTACTCACACAATACATGTACATTTGACAATTCATCATCAGCTCTAGAGGGACAGAAGAAATGCGGGGTTTGGCCTGCAGAATATTCTCACAAATGGAAGTTGAGCTCTGGTAGCTATGGTGTGAGTGCTATTTTTGAGGAGGTTTTCTTTTTGCTTGGCTGTTTAATTATTTGCTTTCTTTAGGTTGATAAGCTGCTTGAAGCTGGTGCAGATATCCTTGCACCAGTTACTCTTGGGGAGGGACAGGGCAAGGCTGTGGGAACAGTGGTGGACTATGCCTACAACATATACGCTCAGGTATGGTGTAATTTCCTGTACCCATAGCACCACACACAAGGGTATGTGGCCTGTTGTGTCCTTAGGAATCACCTGAGCCCTTCAGAAACTTCCATGGGAATTTTCTTTTCCCCTTTATTTTGCTGTGAGACTCAGCTCAGCACCAAATGAATCATTTGAAGTCTGAACAAACTGGTAGTCTTGCCTGTGAAGGCAATCCTCACTCTGATGTGTTACGATGAGATTATATCCCTAATTGGATTGGAAAGAGTTAATTGTAATCTTAAACCCAGGCATAAAAACCAAAAGTAATGTGTGTTTCCCTGAAGCTACAATCAATTCAGGAGAAGATACATATTATACTCATTTATATTATAGTCATATTATAGTCATTCTAGATGCATTGTAAGCTGTAATAGGACATTATTGATCAAACTTTAAAATAATGCATTTGTATCTAGAATAACTAAAATACATATTACTAAATAAATAAATTTATTTACTAAAGCAATCCTTACTAATTTAATAATCCCTTCCAAAAAGAATCTTACTGTGAAGTATAGATAAATTTCTGCCTGATTTTATATATTTATTTATATATATATATATATATATATATAAACTTTTCAAAGGCTTGGGATTCTGTGACAGTTCTAGTTAGAACTAATGTAAGGTGTTTTTTTTTATGGCTTTCTTATTAACAAGAAAGCTTATGTGGTCACCAGATGGCTTACCTCTGGAACAAGGATGGCAGTTGTTCTGCACAGAACAACAGTAATGGTGCCCCTCGATGGTGGGACAGCCTCCTTAAAGCTAAGGGACAGGGAACTGCTCGAAAGAGTCCAGCGCAGAGCTACAAAGATGATTAAGGGAGTGGAACATCTCCCTTATGAGGAAAGGCTGAGGGAGCTGGGTCTCTTTAGCTTGGAGAAAAGGAGACTGAGGGGTGACCTCATCAATGTTTACAAATATGTAAGGGGTGAGTGTCAGGGAGATGGAGTTAGGCTTTTCTCAGTGATGACCAGTGATAGGACAAGGGGTAATGGGTGCAAATTGGAGCATAGGAGGTTCAAGGTGAATATCTGAAAAAAATTTTTTACTGTGAGAGTGACAGAGCCCTGGAACAGGCTGCCCAGGGAGGTTGTGGAGTCTCCTTCACTGGAGACATTCAAACCCACCTGGATGCGTTCCTGTGTGATGTGCTCTAGGTGACCCTGCTCTGGCAGGGGGGTTGGACTAGATGATTTTTCGAGGTCCCTTCCAACCCCTAAGATTCTATGATTCTATGATTCTAATGAGGGGTTTTGCATCCCACACTGATGTTCTGGGTAGATATTAAATAGTAATTTTCTTTATAATAGAATCATAGAATGGTTAAGGTTAGAAAGGACGTTAAAGATCATCAGGTTCCAACCATCCTGCTATGAGCAGGGACACCTCCCACTAGACCATATTGCACAAAAACTTCATCCAACCTGGCATTGAACACCTCCAGGCATGGGGCATCAACAGCCTCCCTGGGCAACCTGTTCCAGTACCTCACCACCCTTATAGTGAAGAATTTCTTCCTAATATCTACCCTAAATCTTCCCTCTTTCAGTTTAAAACCATTACCCCTTGTCCTATCCCTATCTTCTCTGGTGAAAAGTCCTTTCCCAGCTTTCCTGGAGCCCCTTAAGGCACCGGAAGGTGCTCTAAGGTCTCCCTGGAGCCTTTTCTCCAGACTGAACAGCCCCAACTCTCTCAGCCTGTCTTTGCAGCAGAGGTGCTCCAGCCCTCAGATCATCATTGTGGCCCTTCTGTGGAGCAGAGAAGGGTCTGCAATTTGCTTGCAATTGCAGCTGATCCTCATAAAGGAAAAGAAATCAAGCAATTTATAGGTGTAATCATGGGTGAAACTCGATCACCATAAGTCTTTTACCTTTCTGCTTGCTCTGGGCTATTGTTCATCCTTGCTGGCCCTCACTCAAGGGAAGCAGTGTGGGACAGAGTGACGCAGCAGGAGACAAGCTGTGCCTTTCAACTGTCTTCTCAGTTCTAAGAAGCTTTTTGATGCTTCCAGAAGTGTTGAGAGAGGGAACTCTGCAAGATGAGAACAGTGGAAAGTCCTGGGTCAGGGCAACACCCCATATCAACACAGGGTGGGTGGAGAATGGATGGAGAGCAGCCCTGGGGAGAAGGACTTGGGAGCACTGGTGGATGAAAAGCTGGACATGAGTTGGGAACATGCACTGGCAGCCCAGACAGCAAAGCCTGTCCAAGGCTGCATCAACAGCAGCGTGACCAGGTCAAGGGATGGGATTCTGCTCCTCTGCTCCAGTTTGGTGAGACCCCTCTGCAGGGCTGGGTCCAGTTCTGGGGTCCTTAACATAGGAAGAACATGGAGCTGTTGGAGCAAGTCCAGAGGAGTCCACAGAGATGATGGGAGGTCTGGAGCAGCTCTGCTCTGGAGACAGTCTGGGAGGGTTGGGGTGTTCAGCCTGGAGAAGAGAAGGCTCCAGGGAGACCCTAAAGCACCTTCCAGTGCCTGAGTGGGGCCTACAAGAAAGACAGTAACAGACTTTTTAGCAGTGCCTGCAATGATAGGACAAGGGGTGATGGTTTTAAATTGAAACAGAGGAGATGTAGCCTGTAGACATTTTTTACACTCAGGGTGGTGAATCACTGGTGCAGGTTTCCAAGAGGTGGTAGATGCCCAGTCTCAGGCAACATTCCAGCATTGGGTTGGATGGGGCTCTAGGAAACCTGGCCCAGTGGGAGGTACCCCTGCTCAGTGCAGCAACTTGGACTGATGATCTTTACAGGTCCCTTCTCCCCCGAACCATTCTGTAATCCTGTGATTCCTCCTGAAGAAACATTTGAAAATGGTTTCAGTTACCTTGTGAGCACTCACCAAACTGGTAACTGGAACAGCTAGAATGTCCCATATCAGAGGCCACTCCAGCTCAGGAGCCAGCAGGTTGGCTTTAACTCTGAGCCACTTCTGTGTCAGTGTTCCATATGTGAGTGGATTCACTCCTGTGTTCCAGGACTGGAGAATCTCTCACACGCTGTACCACACCCTGTCTGCAGCTGAGCAGGAAGTTTTCCAAACCCGCCAGTCACTTCTGGAACACATTTCAGAGAAACTCCGTGAGCGCATCATCCTGAAAGAGAAAGAGTGGGATCAGGAAGAACTGAGAAGAGCCAAGAGTTAGTTCAAGCTTAAGCGTAGTTCAAGATTAAGGGTAACAACACCTGGTGTGAAGGGGAATTTAGTATTACAATTCCAGTGTTACTGTTTGAAATGGGAACTCCTACTAAAAACTGCTCCAGTGTCTTTGGTAAGGAGATGCAGTGGTTTGCTAACATTAAGGAGAATGTACAAGGCATTGTGAAGAAAATCTGGAGATGCCAGCTGCTTCCTGATAAATGTCTATGCATGGTCTATTTACCCTGTGTTGAGGAATGTTTGAGGACTTGTTCCTCTTTCATGGGAGAGCCTTGGAATTTCTTCACCGGGTTTCAGACAGTGGCACTGTGGGCATCTAGTGTATAGTCATTCCTATGGCAACTCAGGTCCTTTCGTGAGACTAATTGTATCAATACCCTTCTGCTAGTAGAACAATTAATAGATTGTTGCTAGTAGCAACAATTAAGATACATTAAGAGGATTTAAGTTACATTCTCTGTAGTGCTCAAATGTTTGGTGAAATCAGGCTTAGAACCTGGGTCTCCAATCACCAATCCTTGGGGCAGAAGATGCATCACAAAGGGAAGGGAACCCTGACTGTAGGACCCTTTGCAGTTCAGCAAACCTGTGACAATGACTTGTCACAAGCAGGAACTAAGAGCAAGTGACCTGTGTGGTCTCTTCCTTTTGGCTGTGACACGGCAACTTGGCTCCTTTGTTCTTGGCATCTGAAGGTAGTTGATGGAAGATGCATTTTATGATGTGTCTTCAAATTGTATACAGCTGACAGAGCCAAGCAGACTGTTAATTAATGTAAGTGGATCTTGTGATTGTCATTCTCCAGTCAGAATAGTGATTTTTGTTTTCCCTGTTTGTGGAGCAGGAAATTCTGCTGTTCATACACACGTTTCAAAGGATGGAGAGAGCCATCACTTGGAAGAAGGGAGGTAGGGCTGAGACACTGCACTTGAGTTCTTACTCAAAAAATTGTATGCCCTGTTTTTTCCCTCACCAAAGTCATTGTCACCCTGCTGCTTTCCTTCTTTCTCCTTTTCCTCTCAAATCTATCCAGACTTGCCAGCTGCAGTCCACTTCTCTCACTGCTCTGATCACATGTTCTTCATGTGAAGCTGTTCTTCAGCTTCAGGCTTTGCCAGGAGAGTCTGTGTGACATCCAATCTACCCACAGGAAGCAGAGTGTCCTTGTGTTTTAAACCAGTCAATGACATTGGGACCTTAGAGTAGCATGCAAGTGCTAATAAAGTCTGTACAAATGTTGTAGTTCCAGAAATTACAGGAATGACTTGTATAATTTGGATGTTATTTTTGAAATTGTGCATTAACAGAAGTTTCAGTAATGATGGAAATACTTGCCTCAAGGTTCCTGAGTCCTGTCATAAGCTTCTGCTGCAGAGAGCTCATGGGCTTCTGAATGTTGTCTCAGCATTTGAATCAAGAGGAACTGGGGCACTTCTGAAGACACAGGTTTTGAGTCAGCATTTTTGTTGAATTGAGATGGCTCCACAGTAACATAAGATGTAGAAATAGCCGGAAGAACATAAAGTGAACTAAAATAAAATCCAGAAGGTTAAAGTAGCACACAAAGATTTTGCAAGTAGATCTTAGGGGTGACTTGCAGGGACAGATGAAACCTCAGTGAAACTTGCAAGCTATTGGAAAAGGGTTCTTAAATGCTTCAAAAGTGTGTAAATATGTAGCCCAGGTTGTGCTTAGATCTAACATTCTGCTCCCCAGCCCCACTGGAACCCTTAGCCCAGGCACTCCTCGTTTTCTACTCTGGTGTTGGAATAACTGCTGCAATGCAGCAGCCTGAGTGTCCCGGTGGCCTCTGCAGTATTCCAGTGGATTCTAGAAGGGGTTTTTAAATTTTCTAGCTTGGTTGTATATAATTTGTCCTGCCAGCCATTTTGGGAATGGGCATCTCCAGAGACTGTGCCATGGGCACCTGAAGGCACAGAGTGCTGGTGCAGAGTGTGCTGGCCAGGTTGGTAAAGGTTGGCCATGGTCTTGTGGGACATTTGGCCTTTCTGGATCTGTTCCTGGGCACTGTCATTGCAGCTGCTGTGTTCTCTCTTCCTTGCAGACTCCTGTGGTATGTTCCCGAGTCTCCTGTTTCTCATAATTGAACACTATTTCTGTATCGTAGACATTTTGATTCTGTTTTACTGTGATCTGCAAACATTCTGTCACCTTGAGGAACACTCCAAACATGCAGTGTGCTCTCACTTTCCAACTGCCTTTGTTCTAGACTGCCCTTCTTTAAGTACTGCTACCAGTGTGGCCGCTCAGTTGGGGTCCAGCTGTCACTTTGTACGCGTTGCCATGAAGTCTTCACTTGCAGTGAAACCTGCAAGAAGAAATCCTGGGCCGAGCGGCACAGGCAGGAGTGCAGGGGGCTGCGGGGTAAGTCTGCTTCTCATTGCTCTGTGTACCACAGCGTGTGTGTGAGTGCTGACCTGGGGGTCTCCTCCTTGTCATGGGCCAGCAAGATGTGTTTGATGAAGGAATTTAAATAAAAAGTTTCAGTTCATCTACTTGAGCAGCTATTCTTTGTAAACACACCAGCTTAAAGAGAGCTGCAGCTGTGTCATTAGTGTCACTTTCAAGAGAGAAGAATCTTTAAGGTAAGACTAAGATTAGTTGCTGTGGATATCAGTAGACAACTTTCCAGGCAGAAGGACCACAATGGATCTTATAAACTAGGCAGAGTGGAACTTTCCATCCAAACTACCTCTTCATCACATCTATTTGTGTATTAGAACAGAAATAATGAAGATTTCTTTTTTCCATGGAACTGTTGATACCACAGTATTGTGGTTCTTGGAAACTGCATGTGTGCTGATAAAAATGAGGCCACATTACACCCCCTCCCCATGCTAGACACCAACAGAAGACTGGGATGGTAGAAACTACACTATTTAATGATACCAGAAGCTCACACAGATTGAATGAGAAATCTGCCAAATGTGAGGATGGACACAGAACTGCTGTATTCACAGGTCTGCAATTGATCTGCATTTTAGTGGCTGCTTGGGATGGGACTTTTAAACTGGATAGTTGTGAAACCCTATGTGTTGGGAATAGTGGAGATAAGTTTTATCACACAGGCTTACCACCATGGGCTCTGCATAGAACCAAACAATAAGGCAAGGGAAGTGAAGGGAAGGGATCAGAGTACAAGGGCAAATGATCAGTCTTGTGGCAGTTGTACACTGGACGACTCAAACATGAAAAAAAATTCACATTAACTTAGAAAACAGATTTTTTTGTCTTTAACAATGTAATGTCTCAGTGACACAGTTGGGTGGTGTTAAGATGTTAACTAATAATTACGTAAGCTGCTGCTTCTTTTAGTAGTAACCCCTTTCCTGTATGCCAAATCTCAAATTGCATTGAATTTGATTCAGTGGCTCAAATTCAGATGTGTGTCTTCCTGTAGACAGAGTGTTTCTCAGCAATAAACAAACTTCTTTTTAAGTTGTCTCTTCCTTTCTAGCTACTTTTGAGGTAGAAAAGTTTCTGTTTGTTCCTTTGTTTTGTTCCTTTTTTCTCTCCCATGGTTGTCCTTTATTTAAAAATTACCTGAAATCAGATGCATTGGAGCAAGTAGATCTGTTGCTCTGGGAGCCTCTCATGCCCTCTGCCCTGTTCCCAGATTCCTGGGCTTTTTGCTGTTGGACAATGGGATTAGTGTTTATGTTGTACTTTATGAACCATACTCTCAACGTTTAACTGAGCCCTGAGGTAACGCATAGTATCAACTGCAGGATTAGAACATTCTTGGATATGTTTTCTAGAAGAAGGAAGGACCATTTGCTTTCCTGCAGGTGGTCATGGCTTGCTGGGCCCCATGGAAGCGAGCCACCCAAGTTGTGTCTTCACATCACATGCAATTAATTACACCAAGATAGGAACATCCTCCAGTCTTTTACCTGCTTCCAGTACATTATTCCAGAGAACTGAAGGTTCCTCAAAGATGTAAGTGGTGTTGGGTTTTCTTTTTTTTTGTTCTTTTTTTTTCCCCAGGGAAAAGTCCAGCTCCAGCAGCTCTGGGTGCCAGCAGCACAGGATGCAAAGAGAAAGTCCCTGTCAAAAAGGGCAAAAATGGAAGAGAAGAAAAAGATGAAAGGAAAGGAAGCAGAAAGAGTGAAGTTGGGGGTGGTGGAGGAAAGCATCACAGGAAGAATGACTAACTTGACTAGTCACTCCTGGACATGTGTGCATAAGTTTTAATCCCCCTGTACTTTCTGCCTTGTAATCCCTTTCTTCTAAAGTTACAAGTGATCTAATTTGCCATGTTTTGAGAAACATATTTCTAAGATACTGCATAGAAGCTCAAGGATAATAAAGCCATCGAAAATCAGTATGTGAGTACATACAAGTTAAGTATTTAAATAAATCTTTGCAATTAGAAATCCAACTTTGGATTGCTTTTAGAATCTAATTATATATATGTTTTAAATAATATTGCCAGAAGAGGCTCTGAGCATATCAAGAGTGACCACATGGCTGTGGGGGGGTATGCTGAGGTCAGGGAGGCCCAGAAGGTTTTCTCCTTGATCCTACTGCCAAAGCAGAAAGGCTTAAGGAGCAGTGGCTCCACAGGCCATGAGGAGCTCACAAAGAACCTCACCTCAACACCAGCTAGAATGCACTACGGCTGGTGCCAGGACAGAGAGCTTGGGGGTCCCACACTCCAGCCAGGTCTGAGGATGACCATGCCAAAGTGCCAAGATGAGGAGAGCCAGGAAAACCTCCCAGGGACACAGGGGCAATGATGGGACTGATGCTTCCTGCAGTCTTCATTAGTTCCACAGTGGATGGAGTGGGACGGGTTGGACACTGTGGCCCTTCTGACTGCTGTCAAAGCATGGACAGCCAATGGCACCTGCCATATTAACCAGGGAGAGCAACAGGCAGGACTTCTGCCAAAGAGCAGCTCAGAGCCAGTGCAAGGGCAGACAGAAGCCCTCCCTGCCCCCATAACCAGTGCACCTGCATGGTACGATGCACCACACACAACATCCTGCTGTGGGCAGAAAAAGAAAGAATACTTCTATGCAGAAAGCTCTTAGTAAGAATAACCATCATCAAGATGACATGCTCTGGGCCCAGTTTCCACTTCTGCTCACCCCCACCTCCCTGCTGGACCATAAGACCCATTGCTTTGATCCAGCTGTGGTGATGGAAAGGCTGCCATGAGCTGTCTGCCTTGAGTGCCCTGTGCCCAGAGGAACACAGGCTGGTGATTTCTCCTGCCACACTTTGGGATCCACTTTGGGAGACTTTGATCCATTTGCTCACATTTTACGCCTTTTTCTTTGTTCATTGGTCTGCACCTCCATGTTACTTCTGACCCTACTCTCTGATCATGTGTTTTATGCATTAGCTCTGTTAGCTCTCAAATGGATTTTTGGGTTTTGCCTATCTCCAGCTCTGCATGACTTTAACCAACTCCTGGAGAGTAGTTTGAGCACTGTGGGGCCCCTGGGCCATGGCAGAACCCATCACTCTTCATTCCCATCCCACACGGCACTCACAGAATCACAGAATCTTAGGGGTTGGAAGGAACCTCAAAAGATCATCCAGTCCAAACCCTCTGCCAGAGAAGGATCACCTAGAGTACATCACACTGGAACATGTCCAGACAGGTCTTGAATGTCTCCAGAGAAGGAAACTCCACAACCTCTCTGGGCAGCCTGTCCCATGTTCTGTCACCCTCACAGTAAAGAAGTTTTTCCTCACATTTACATGGAAACCCCCATGCTCCAGTTTGCACCTGTTGCCCCTTGTCCTGTCACTGGACATCACTGAAAAAAGCCTGGCTCTGTCCTCCTGACACTCCCCATTATGAATTTATAAACGTTGATGAGGTGGCCCCTCAGTCTCCTCTTCTCCAAGCTAAAGAGACCCAGCTCCCTCAGCCTTTCCTCATCAGGGAGATGTTCCACTGCCTTCATCATCTTGGTGGCTCTGTGCTGGACTCTTTCAAGCAGTTCCGTCCTTCTTGAACTGGACACAATATTCCAGATGCAGCCTCACCAAGGCAGAATAGAAATGGAGAAGAAGCTCTCTTGACCTACTAACCACACCCTTTCTAATACACTCCAGGATGCCATTGGCCTTCTTGGCCACAAGGGAACATAAGGTCCCTTTCCCCCACACTGGTCTCCAGCAGGTCAGCCCCCAACCTGCAGTGGGACATGGGGTTTTTCTTTCCCAGATGCAAAACTCTACACTCATCCCAGTGCTATCACGTGCAAAGCCTCTCACAGGTGAGACTTCATACGCATACAAGAAGAAAGACCACCTCCAGCCAGGGACTCTTTAAGCCCTGGAGGAACTGTGGCTTTCTCCTGGATTGAGTTACCAAGGATCTCCTCCACCTGGAAACCCTTGAAGTCTGTGGAGATGAGGAAGGAGAAAGGATGAGGCAGCAGCCCCACAATCACCTCCTGAGATGTTCTCCTCCATTCTCAGAACACTAGCCTTATCAACCAGAAGAAAAAGATGGAGGGTGACATCTCCCAGCTGCAGACAGAGGTGGAAGAGGCCATTCAGGAGTGTCGGAATGCTGAGGAGAAAGCCAAGAAGGCCATCACCGATGTGAGTGCTGTGGTGGAACATCTTGGACACCTTCTACCACAGGGTGATGGAGAATGTGCCTTGGAGCTCCTTCTCTGATGGCTTCTCCCCTTGGGCAGGCAGCCATGATGGCAGAGGAGCTGAAGAAGGAGCAGGACACCAGTGCCCACCTGGCACGGATGAAGAAGAACATGGAGCAGACCATCAAGGTCCTGCAGCTGCAGTTGGATGAGGCAGAGCAGTTGGCCCTCAAGGGAGGGAGGAAGCTGAAGGACCTGGTGAGCAAGCTGGAGAATGAGAAGCGCAATGCCGAGAATGTCAAGGGCCTCCACAAGTCTGAGCGGCACATGAAGGAGCTCAGCTACCAGGTGTAGTATGGAAAGTGGATTAGAATGTCACCTCTGGCCCTGTGGCCACAGTCACCTATGTCTGGTGGGTCTAGGACACTTTGCTGTGGCTGCTTCTCAGCTCTGACTGGCAGGTTGGAGTCTAGGGGTCCCTGAGTGCTGGCAGTGAGTGGTTTGTTTCAAGGGGGACAGCAAGCCCCCTCCTGCCCTGCCTGCAGGACATATGGCACTGGGGGGGGTAACGGGGGGCCTGGACCCCTCAGGGTTGGGCCAACAGCCACAGTTCCAATGGGCTGTGGGGACTTGTCTGGGGCACCCCCAGCACTGCCTGGTGCCCCCAGCCCTGCCAGCAGCCTCCATGGAAGCACCTGGGCCACAGCAACCCCTGAGTGCTGTAAGTTATGAGCTAAGCATAATTTGTGGGAAAAAATCACATTTGGGAAAAAAAAACCAAACCCAAACAACAAACACATAAATGAGAAGATAAGGGACATACAGAATAAAAATTGGACCCAGATAACAGTGAAACAGTGAGAATGAGACAAAACCAGAGTCCAATGAGAGAAAAACGTCCCTGCAGGACACCTGCAGGAGAGGACAGGGATGGAGACCTCTGCCCACACCTTGGCTTGGGGACAGCCTGGAGCCCTGGGGGGAAACACTGAGTAATTGGATTCGCTATATTAACATATTAATCAGATATTAGCATACTGAAATACACACACCCACACACCCAGGCTAGAGGGACCCCGGCCCTCCACTCTTGAAGCAGGCACAGTGACATTCCTGAGCATTGGCACTTGGGATGGAAGGAAGGGATTAGTGACCCACTGTGTGTGCCAGTGATACAACAATGGTCAAGATCAAGGTCTCTCTCAGGTTTTGGGGTATAAAAACAGGACTTGTGTTTCAGGGAGCTGAGCTTGTTGTGTGGAGCACCCCTCTGCTCCCTGCTCTGTGCAGAGCTGGGTATTAAAGCAGATCTCTGGGCTCTGTGCGGATCGGCTCCTGGCACAGCGGGTGAGAGACCAGCTGTTGGGACAACGATCCTGCTTCTCCTCAGGGGGAGGGGGTGAGGGCAAAGAACTAGAATCCAAGGGCAATCGATGGTGGGCTGTGACTCAAGCGAACTTTAAAATTAAATAATTAAAATAAAATTAAAAACAAATGGGTGGTGGGGGGAGGGCACCCAGTCTCATCAGTCTGCAGATTCTGGCCGCGTCTGCTGTGCCGCTGCCAGCCCAGCCCTGCTGAGCTGCTTTGTCTGGGTCCTGCAGGTGAAGGGGGAACAGAGGGAGATGGGG